CTGTATTAACATGAAACATTTAAAACACGATCTATTTATATTACGCATGACATTAACCAATTGTAACGAAGTACAATTTGACTGTACGATTTAGATACATTATCTTAGAATTACATAGTCTGGAGATATTTACGATATAAATAACACTCATATCCGTGCGCTAATTTAGCTTACAATCTACGAAGTGGTGAAACGTAAACGTACAAACTGTAGTTATTATCTTTTGAATCATATAAACTAAAAATAGCATAACATGTCCGTTGGAAAATCCTGCATTCATTTAAACATGGACCTAGATAACTGTCTTTTCATTCCTACCTCTACTATTACTCATAAGTTATTAAACTCTATGTAAAATCGTGTTGATTCAATTGAATATAGCGACACTGATATGTTTTGTTAAACGGCTTTCTATAGGCCAATCGAGCGTCGTCTCGAGATATGACCCACAGGTTAAAGTTCATGGCGTATTCTAGGAATTCTGGCGTACTAGAGCGTACTTCTTCGTTCACACGTATCGATATACGTCTACTAGTTTAACAAACAATATACGTAGAGGACTATTTCCCATGTCAGCTGAAAACACGTATCATATTACGAAATAAAAACAAACACCTATTTCATTCTTAATAGGGTATTTGTTTCTTCATTATCGTTAGGGTCAACTTTCGACAAAAGTATTCAAATAGCTAAAATTAGTATATTATGTATTATAGTTTCATTATCTGTACAGTGTACCTCGTGATTTATTCACGTGCTTATCACGTATTAGTTTAACTAACAATTTACGTTCTCACAAGTTTAGAATGAATCCATAACACGTGCTTACAAGTTGAGACCTCAACATCCTTCCCTAGCAACATGCCCTCTGGTGTTACTTCATGAAACTATACGCACTACCAGTACGCCCTCTGGTGCGTTTTCATGGAACTATGACCTCATAGTTCTCTGATGCCACTTCGTGAACTTTATCACCCCCCCCCCCCAATCGCCTGAAGGCAGCCAATTAGCGGCTTGCCATGTAAGTGCCCCGATCATTATTGGTTGGAATTACCGTGTAGACTGATTGATCTCCAATTCAGCTATAGCTGAATCTTAGTGTTTTCAATCTGGCCATTTGAACTATGTGTCAATTATGGTGACATTCAGGTTAAAAATTCAAAACACTAGATGTCATTTGTTCCCATCCCCCCTCCCCCACACTCAGAGGCTCAGCGGCGAGTCTGAAAAGCTTATAATGCCGGGTTTCGATACCTATTGTGGGCACAGCACAGATAGCCCATTATGTAGCTTTGTGTTTAACTACAAACAAACAAAATCATATATTCCTGAACCCTCTTGTCATTAAAGTTTTTTCCAAAGATATCTCAAATCTCCCCTTTCATCGACACGCACTCCCCCTGTAGCAATGAGTTAGAAATGATATGTTTCCAGATAGTTTTAATTATCATATATTTGTATAGTTATAGAGACTTTTTGTAGGATTAAAGTCACAAGGGTGTCAATGAGGAAGGCCTTAATGTGTGTGTGTGTTTCTGTGGATGATTGTTTCCTGTTTTTAACGATGCACCTTTCAGTATTGCTTTTCCACTCGTACTCTAGTTTATCCCCCCCCCCCCACCACCACCCACACACACATAGATAGTTGTGGAAGTCTGTGACTCATAGACGAGCTTTTATTTTTCATCGTGACTCGAAAGTCTTTATGAAAGCTGGTTAAGCGTAAGTGTGGCCCGACATCACCGAAATCAATCGTTATTTGGGTGTGGTTCCCAACACCACGAGTCCCTGGTGATCGCGAACGTCATTAAGTTAGAGTATGATCTGGTATCAGAAGAGACGCTCCGAATTCCTAGACATATATTAACATGGAAAGCTGGGCCAGTAATCGATACGTGACGTAATAAACGGTTATATGCTGATGAAGTTAGATGTGACGGGGGAAGAGGAGGTGGAGGGGAGCACGCATTTCTGTACCCTGCAAGTGATATTAACACTTCGGACAGTGGTGGCCTCTTCAAAGGATTCTTACGATACGTTTGACGACGTAAGATCACGGCAGGGCGTTTTACTGTTCCTGGATCAAAAGAACGCCGTTCTTGACGGGGCGTTTTACTGTTCCTGGATCAAAAGAACGCCGTTCTTGGCGGGGCGTTTTACTGTTCCTGGATTAAAAGAGCATCATTTTTGTTGGGGCGTTTTACTGTTCCGGGATCAAAAGAACGCCGTTCTTGGCGGGGCGTTTTACTGTTCCTGGATCAAAAGAACGCCGTTCTTG